TCCTTCCAAATATCCATCATTGGCTGGTATTTGTGGCCAGCCATTTGCCAATACACGGAGAGATGCTACAGTAGGCACAAAATCACTTGTCCATTCTCCAGTCATTTCCTCAATCGCATCTGCCAGCTTCAACAAGCTCTGCTTCCTCTCGTCTGAGATAGGATTTCTGATAGTAGTGTCAGGCACAATGGGCAAAGCTCCAAAGTCAGCATCCTTGATGAGAAGGACTGGTGGATCCGAGGTAGAAGAGCTCATGAAAGGTTTTGTCACACAGAACACATCTAAGTCACTCCCTTCTCGCACAACCCTACGGTTGGACAAACTGTTGCGCTCAGATTCCGACAGGTCCATCCTGAGCTTAAAGGTGAATGAATGCGGGCCGGGGATGTTCTGCCTGGTTTGGAAGCAGTTGTATGGTGTAGAGCCAAGCTTGTCAAGCCAGGGTTGAAAGTTTCGCACATGACTGATCATAGATGACCTCACCTGATACCCTTTGCACTCCATCAATCCACTCATGCCAGCTGGAATCGCATTCACCAGGTCTTGCGGATGAAAGAACTGCATCTTCCGAATCACGCGTCCAAGAACCAGTGAAAAAATGAAATCTATATCTTCATGGGTATGGCCTTTTCTCAAGCATGTAAGCTGAACTGTGGAGAAGGCAAAGCGACGGGTCAGGACCCCTAGGAATAGGCAGAAGTACTGATTTTTGCATTGTGCAACAGTGTTGTCTGACTGGATCACCAGGTGACGACACATTGGGAGGCCACGTTCCCTTCTCATAGACTGTACTTTCGCCAGAGTTTGGATGATGCATTCAATGGCATAGCTTGCCCCATGGTGCCCCCCGTCATCGTTGGATACGTAAAAATCAGCAAGGTATCCATGGGCTAAAGCTAAATGTAGTTCGCACTTGGGTCGTACAAACTTGTCAGCATTTTTTGGTGTTCTCATTCCCCATTTTGGCCAATAAAATTTACTTTTGTCCATCCCATCATAAATCACACAGAGGATGGGGGATGAGTCCAGCTTGCTGCTGAATCGAAGATGGTAGTAGACCATTCGGTCCAAGTACTGAGCTCTCAAATGTTCCGCCCATTGCAGAGCTCTCTGCTTTTTCTCCATGGGAGTGGCCTTTGTGCCATGGATATAATGGCTGCATTTAAAACAGAAATCGCACTGTGAATGCTGCGTTTTCCCCCGAAGTCCAATGCTTTCACGCCAGCGCCCACAACATCTTCTCCAAAAGGTGGACCAGCTGGCAGGCTTCGTATCCGGAGATCGGGTGCTCAACCATGAAATGTACATCCAGAAAAGATCGATGACTTTTGAATGTTGGATGTAGCGTTTGGGCAGTTTCCCATCTGCAGCCACAGTCTGCATGTTTGCAATGATACCTTTGTCTGGGTCAGCACCAATCAGTGGAAGGAAATCTGTATCATCTTTTCCAAGTTTCTCCAACGATTTGGTTTCCTCTTCTGTGAGCTTCTCATGTGCAGCTAGCTCTTCATCCACACAGGACACATGATATTCAGTAAGCTCTGGAAGGAACTCGGCTGTGGTATGGTACAAATCCAGCATGAAAGCATCTACTGTCCGGGAAACATCTGCACAGGCCCCAGTGTTGAACTTTCTCTTGTCAACTTCTCCATTAACACGCTTGTCGAAAGTCCGTGGGGTGATGTGAAGCAAATTGCACAAACGAGCCAGACAAACCCTTTTGTCACAGAATTGCCACACAACTCGGCTTGATGATCGGCTCTGATTGCTCTCATCATACACTGTGCTGAACAACACAGTTTTCATTTCTGTTGTCATAGCATTCCAAACACACATGAATGTGTTGTATTCCTTGAGCCATTCTACATCGAGCTTGTCACATGCAGTGCAGCCATCAGCTCCTCTCCCAAAGCTGCATGGGGCCAAAATGTCTTTTCCAAACTCAGCATTTTTCTTTTTCAGAGCTTCAGCCAAATCCAGCGCTTGTTCTCCGCATGCAAGAAGGGCTGTCCCGACTGAAAGCACAATGTGTGGAGTTTGACCTGGAGGTGTTTCTGCTGCTGAAGCGAAGTCCTCACTTGGAGATGGAGCTGTCCATCTTGGCAACTTTTGAAGCAAAGCTGCCTTGGGTGCATCATCTGTTGTTTTTCTCTTCACTGGCCCTGATGCCACATCTGGATGAAGCCATGATGAACTTGTTGCTATTGGTGGGTTGAGCCATGATGCAGAAGCCTCTTCATTGCTATCAACAGGAGGTTTGCACCAGTTTGGGCGAGACATTAGCTGCAAGAACATAAATGAAAGCAACAATCTGCACAACAACCCCCACAACAATCTTCATGAAAGCAACATGGAGCAATCATAGGAACCCTCAAATGGCTAATAAGCCTTTGATTGAAACAACCTTATGTCATAACCTCCCAATACATGATGTAAATCTTTTCATTTTCTCTCCAACGCTGAGGCGATGCGATTCAAAATTTCGAGTGCATGTGGCAGTCTTTCCCCAGACTGCTACAGCATGTTGCCCCAAGCCTATCCTACTTGGAGAGCTTCTTCTTCACATCCTCGCGCCAAACATCGCTGGCCTTCTTCAGCTCAGCACGCACTTCAGCCTGGCTTGGTCTGCTGGCCGGCTTCTTGCAGTCGATGTTGGTGAACTTCTTCTTCAGGTGCTTCCTGACATGGGCCCAATAGTCAAATTGGTTTACCGTCTTGCCAACAAGGATGTGCTTCCCAGGATACTTGCGCATCAACTCCTCTCTGGTCTCATTGAAAAGCTCCTTCTTCAGGTTGAAGATTGCAAGCTGGTCTTCCCCGGTTGGCGGCCTGTTGCCAGCAAAGCACCCAACCTCTCCTTTCTTTCCTCGCTGCTTCTTTGCAGGCTGTTCAATGATAGCATCATCATCATTTGGCAAGCCTTTCTGGTCAGCCTGGTCTTCATTCTTCTTCTGCTCCTTCAGCTGTGCTGGCTCTGGGTGACTGACCTCAGCTACAGGCCGCGTCTGGACCTGATTGTTCTTTATCAGGCCAGGTGCAAGCTGCAAGCCCGATTTCTTCAGCACAGTGTTGGCCTTCGTCATTGCCAACGATGCTGCAGAACGTGAGGCCATAGCTTCAGCGCCATCTTGAGATGAAGCACTGCCCCTCAGCTGATGCATTGCAATCGCTGCCTGCTGGTTGATGTACTTTTGGTTGCTTGCAGATACCTTGCCAACAGGTGCAGTGGGCAAGTTCAAGGTAGGTCGACTCCAATCCTTCCAGGCTGCAGCGGACACACTCCCTTGGCTCACAACAGCAGCAGGAGACGGAGGAACTGAAGCCTTGTTTGCGATGACCTCTTTTGCCTCATCTTGAAACCAGCTATCATCTTCCAGGCTGCCATCCCCACTAGCCAAGAACATAGACGCCATGGAAGCAAGTGAAGGAAGCTCTACACAATAACAATTTCAAAAAGGCTGCAAGGGACTGACAGTATCAAGCTCTATACAATCTAGAAAAACACTGCAAGGGACTGATTGTATCATGGTAAGAAAAGGCATGCTACTCGTACTGGCTTGCAAAAAGACACTACTGATAGTGTGACTTTGAATCATCTATTCCATGGTTTGCACTGAAGGGCATTAATTTTTTGTCAGCTCTGTGCAGCAAATCACAAAGGTCACTCACTTCAGTTGCCGGCCAGCTCTGCGATCTTCCCAGCTTCAATGATGAGGTTGCTGGTGGGCACTATACCTGGCTTCTCCGGTGTCATCGACCAGCCCTGTTCTGATACTGCCATGACCCACCTTTGCATCATCTGGATCAAAGAGCCTTCTGGAAATTTCTTGATGAACGATCCTGCATCTTCAAAGCCAGGTGGCTTTGAAGACCCCATTTTCCGTGGTGTTGCAAGTGGTGTAAACACACACAGGGATGGCTCTACTGTGTAGGTGCGAGCCACCAAATCACCTGCTGAATCCACCTGGTTGCCTGGCTCCACAGAGTGGCACGCAATGTCCAGCTGGGTGATGTCCTTGTTCTCCTGCTCCAGTGACTGGAGGAATGCTCGAAGAGAAATCAAGGTCTTTCCACTGGACTCATCATCGGACTTCCGGATGAACGCTTTCACACCATCATCTTCGAAGCCGACCTTGAAAGAAGCATTCTTGGAGTCTTCCATTGCTTTTTGGGCTTCCTCAGCAATCTTGAAGGCACCATACACAAGGCACAAGGGAGGGCCCTGGGATGACAGTACTGCGTCCTTCTCTTGTCCAGCCTGGAACCAGACCATGCCATTTGCTCCAATGATCAAGTTGCCACCTGCACTCTGAGGAATCACACAGCACTTTTGCTTCTTCTTCAAGGACTCCAAGTCCTCAGAGATGGAACTGAGTTTGCGCTTGGCTTGGTGTGCACCACCATCATTCTTGTCATCAACGGCCATCATAGTTTCACCTTCATATGCTTTTCCACTCTGATTGAAGGCTTGGTTGTGCTGCTCGACCACCATGTCCCATTCCTTTCTCACATCCTCATTGCTAAATTTCTCAGCCATTTCCGTAAGGACATCCGCCCGAAGAGCCAAGGTCCCATTTGCGGATGGAAAGGTCAGCCGGAAATCACGCTCTGAGATTGAAGGCGTGGCCCTTGACTCTTCATATGCAGTGATGGACTCCCAGCCTGGTACCACAATCACACCTTCCTGCGCCAAGTTTTGGATGCGACGCTTGATAGCATTGATCATCCACTTTGCAATCTTGATGTTCTCCTGCCGATGGTCATTGGCCGCATTGCCCCTTTGTCTGGAGTCGTCCCTGGTATTCATGCTAGCAAAGACAGTGCCCACATACATGTAGTGTGGTGCCTCTGCAGATTTCCTCATGACTGCCTCTGCACATGAGTGGTCATAGCCAAAGACATCCACCACAGCCTTGGGACACAAATCTGACAAGTAACTGTTCTACCTTTTTGGTTTGTCTCCCTTATGTATGCTTACTATTATTGCAATAAATATTATAGCCGAAATGTGTTATTGAAGCAACTACTAGCAAGCAAACCAAAATCAAATTTCAACTTTTGATCCAAAAAACGCAAAGTGAGGTCCGATCTGGAGGAGGGGTCATGCCAGCAAACAAACCATCAAGGAATGCTGCAGGGATGTGGAAGCCTGCAAGCCACTGTTTTCTTCTGGATGGTTTGCTGAGATCTTCGAGTCCCTTTGCTGTGGAGAAATCACGCTTCGGATCAACGTAGGACTTCACAGGCAGCATTGGAATCATCCTATCTCCCTTGCATGGCACCATCTGACGCTTCCAGATGAAAGTGCGGGCAAATAGCGACAATGGTTCATGGGTAGCCAAACCAGTATCGCATTGGTCACTGATGGCCAAATACCACTTGTGGCAAGCTGGTCGCTTGGACTGAGCAGGGATTGTGGACTGGTCGAAGCACTGTGTGATCTCCTTCACAATCAACCTTTGATCTGGATCTTTCAGGATCTGAAGTATCTTGCCAGCAGTCTCCAACGCATCGCCCTCTGAATACTCATTGCCAAAGCTTCCAACTGTTGGGGCAGAGATCAACATGCATGTCCTTGCAGGCTCAGCCGCAACATGACCTGACAAGGCCTTGATGGCAGCTGTTGTTTCCACCAATGCATCATATCCAAGGCCTTGAGTGTTCATGTAGTACACCTTGAAGACCGGGCCACCCAAGGAGTTTTCATTCTGATACTTGTTCACAGCACTCTCTACGAACGTTGCCACATGACTAACTTCACTCAGGTCCCGCAAAGGGAACCGACTCTCCTGATATGAGGTCACATTCTTTCGCTGGGTCTCCTTCTGCCGATCAGCCTGATGTGCCTTCATGGCCATCCCAAGGCTCTGAAAGTCTTTCATGGCAGTCATATGTGCTGAACTTCTTTTGCTCCTTGGCCAGCTTGGCCAGCTGCATATCCAGCTCAGCCTTTTGGAGCTTCAAAGCAGCCTCGTTCTCACTCACTGAGATGGTGACAGCACCTTGCACACCAAAATCCTGCAAGAAGCGGAAGTCTCCAGCGCAAAGATCTGGAGCCTGGACCCGATACTTTTCATTCAACTCTGTATCCAGGTAGCCTCGCAGGAATTTTGCCTCAAGGGTGTCAACTTGGTCTGCTGTCAGCACTTGCCTCCATCCATTCAGAAAGTGGGAGAACAGGCAAGACATGGCATAAGCACACTCTTCATCCTTGGGATCCCTCAGAGCATTCGCACCAGTATGCAAATTCACTCTCTTCTTGAGGCGCTGGGCATCTGCTATGCGATGCAGGAAATACCTCACCCGGCGGGCCACATAGAAATGTCTCTTGTTGTTGTCAGGTGTCAAGATCTCTGTCCACAGTGGTGAAGCAACACGGGGCTTGAGCCCTCCCCTCAGCAACTCGGTCCCCAGGGTTCGATATGGCAAACCACTGTTCTTGGCACTGTAGTTCGACCAATGGTACTCGATGAGCGATTGTGTTTCCGGATCTAATGTGCAGAAAAGGGCAATGATGTTCATCTCCAGCTCTGAGAGCCTCTTTGTCTCAAGACCACTTCGCTCATTGAACTCGGCCATGATAGTCTTGCATCCTTCTTCCCAACTTGTACCTGAGTCGGCCAAAGTTGCATGGAATGCCCGTGCGATCTGGATGCAGTCTGGACGGGGCCTTGAAGCCTCTGACATCTTCTCTGCAAGAGCAGAGAATCGACATTCCTTCATGGTTTGATGATCTCGAAAGGTGCACCGGATACCATACAAAGCTCTGAGCCATGGTGTGACCAAGATGATTTCTTCATCAGAGAGATTGGAATTGATGGCTGAGTACAGCAGAAGCATCAAGGCCAAACACTTTGTGTAGCCAACGGTCACCTTCAAGGAGAAATCAGGAAGCACCCCTCCTGGCATCAACCCCATGAAGGACACCTGGATTGGGTTTGATATGCTATCGAATGGACGCTCACAAAACTCCTTGTACAAGCGAAGAACGAAGATCATCTTGCTCCGACCCTTCACTGAGCACTCTGGTGAGAAAGGCAAGTGCCAAGGCTGCAAAATCACCTCCCCTGTGTTGCCATCTCCACAATCCGCAGGAACAGTTGTTGCTGCTGCTCTCTGCTCGAAGACCATTGCAGGCACCAAGCGTTCCAATCGCCCCTTCAAATCCTGAAGCATTTGCTTCAATAGAGCAGGCTTGCTGTCGAACATGGACATCAGATGATCACCTCAGTATCCAATGAAATGATGATCCCTATGTTAACGAAGTCTTACTTCTGATGTACTCAACAAATAACTACAACTTTTTTTGAAAGGTTAAGCCACTGAAGTCCAAGCAATCATCAGCTTCTGGATTGCCACTGCCACCAAACTTTTCTTGCACCCATGCATCAAGCTTGGCCAAGACACGCTTCTGCTCTTGGGAGATCTTTGACATTGTTTGAACTCACTATCTATGATTGCTTACACTGGAACCAAAACCTCGCAGATGTACACTAATAAACTGAGCACACAGAAATGACCAGGGCATAGCACAAGAGAATGATACTTAAAAGACTTCACAGCTCACAGCTCAGCCCTGAAGAAAACAACTTAA